GTTACTTGTCCCAGCTTCTGCCAACTTAGCAGTTCAAAAACATGTAAAAAATGCAAGTAGAAAAATAGGGACCACTTTTGGTGGGAAGGTAACAGAGTTCCTTGCACCTCTGGCATTTAGCCCTGCCGTCCACATGACCACAGAGATGTCTTTGAACAGTGCTGGCTCTTGGCTTAGAAGCGAAGATGAGCACCACCCCTAGAGTCAGAAACGACTAGCATGCATGTGCAGGGGAATCGTTACCTTTACCTTACACCTTTTATCTCTGGTCTTTGGCTGTAATAAAGATTCATTCAATCATGAGTTGAAAGAGCCTGCCAGTGCATCCTCTAGGTTAGTCCTGCAGATGCAAAGGTATGGCTATCATAGGGGCAAGGGAAGCAAAAGAGCTAGCGTTAGGTATCTAGCAATTCAGAAGTTGGTACCCAGATAAATGTATTGGTCCTATTTCACCAAGCTTGAGTGAAGAAAAATATGTGTGTTTATTAAATATACATTTGGATCGTTATTACTATAACGGTCACATTACTTTTCTCTAAGCCAGATTTCTCTCACAATTTCCCAAAATATTTATGATATGCAGCACTCAGAATTCAGTTTATAGCCTTTAGCTCCTACAATGCAATTGAGCCAATGTGAAAGTTACTTTTTCCATCCCGGTCCCCAGACACATTCCTTTCTAGATAGAAAAGGGTTGATGTTTCATATTTTCCTCTTGTACATACCCCATAATGTGCTGAACATAGGAAGGGTATCGGAATTCTCCCTTGCTGCCTCCTCTTTTTGCAACATCAGCACCTTCCAAAGAATTTAAAGGCAAATGTTCAGTGGGAAGGAAATGCAACACCCAGCAAAACAGCAGTTGAATGAAACAGGATTGGATATTGCTGTGCTGACCAAGAACAGGGCTAGTTGGGGAACAGGATTGTACAATAATTTATAATAATCCTGCAGAGAAGTTCTTCTGCATTCAGTGAATTAATGGTTGTTCTGATCATGCAATTATCATATAGAATATACAGTACAAGAGTAATACAAAACGCCTGCTCCCATGCAGAAATTATGCGATGTATTTTTCATGTCCTTACCTGCTCTCTGGGCTTCTAGAAGGAAAGCATTGCCATAATCCCAAAAAAACATCCCTTGATCAGACAGCTTGTTGATGGCAGCTATTTGTCTTCTAAGACTAAAGAACAAAAAAAATAAAATCCGAGACATTACTTTCGGCACCATCTTATATCATTAAAAATAAACCCTTCTGTTTGAACACCGTATGAGAGAAAATAGTTTACTAGGTAAATGTGGAAGATGAGAAATATGGGTTCAGATTTCACTGTTGGAATAAATAATCTTTTTGCCATTTTTCTCTTACTAAAAAGAAGAAACTACTTTTCAACAGTAATGTTGCGATGAGACAGGGGAGCATAAAGCAGTCCTCATCCACATTCTTCCACCAAGTTCAGAGAATACTAAGGACTCCAGATTTTTCTTTAAATTATCCAATCTCCTTTAGACAATCAGTGCCCCATTAGTTTTCACAGATATTTCCTTGTTTAACTAGAGAAACAGAATGACAATCGGTGGGCAAAAATTCAGGGGAGTGTGTTCAATTTCTGACTTCCTATTGGCTTTTCCATTAAGTTTTTTAATGGGATGCTTGCAGGGAGTGTTGGAAAGCTTCCCTCCCTCCCTCCTTTCCTACCACCTATCCTTCTCCCTCCCCTTTCCTCTTCCCTTCCCAGCAGGTAGCTAAATGGATGATACCAAGTGGGGGAGTGTCTGAGGAAGTGCACAAGTGGCCAGCACTGACTACAGAGGGACTGACCATTTCTCCATTGACGTCTTCACTGCACACTTCCCACAAGCCAAGATTTCATTAATGAGAAGCGGGCAAGAAGTCTAGAGTTTATAACTAGATTTTGACAGACTGATCATCTGACTCTTATTCAAAAATGAATCTGTTCTGTCCAAAGCCTAGCACCCCAAACTTCTAAAAAAAACCAGAAGACAATGAAAATGAACATTTTAAGACTTTGCAAGATGGTTAAAATAAAACATGAAAATGATTGCCATACCTTTCTTTTACAAGAGCCTGGAATTTTATGGGATCATTGGACATGAGTTGGTTGGCATCCCTAAAGCTTAGCTGTACTGGGTAATATCCACCATTAAATGGATTGTGACAAGATGTTTGGTCAGATCCCAAATCTACTAATAGTTCCCCAGTAGTATTGAATTCATCCACCAATCTCTCCCTACACACAGAAAGAGGAAAACAGGAAACAGAGAAAAAATAAGCAGAAATGAAGAACAACTTAAGAAAACTTAAGCAAAATTATTAAGCAATACACATTTGGTAAACATGCATTTTAATTAATAAATAATTCAGTCAACACATAAAACATGTATACATCCCACTGATTTTTCACTCAAAACTCTTATAAATACTTTCTCAAGGGAAGCAAAATTCAGTATCATTTTCTCAAATATATGCACACACCCATCAGTCTGCAATGAGGATCACAATCAAATGTGAAATACTGTCACTTAACATATGTTAACTTTGTTTCTAAAAAATAAATCATGTTTGTTGCATTGAACCATTCACTTTATAAATCAAGAAAACAAATTCAAAATTGCACCAGGGCTTCTAACAGAGTTGTTCTCATGTATAAACAACACTAACATATAGTAGGAAAAATACCACATACACTTGGGACAGAGGTAAGTGAAATACTCAATTAAAGAGCAAAGATCTATTTCAGTTTATAGCTATTGTAACAAGGAAGTTAAAATAACAAATATTAAAAACATACCACTGTCAAGAAGATCACTGATCAACTGCCTACTTACCACAGGTCTACCACGTTCCCATGATATCCCAAACTAAGGGTCACCTTGTTCTTCTTTGCTTCCCTGTGTAAATATTTTAAACAGAATTTTAGCATTAAGGATGTAAAATAATAGTTTATGGAGACAGGGAAATGCCTTAAAGTATGTTTTGACTCTTTACTGACTACCTATACTAGCCCTACAGTTTTGTTGGCAATGGTTTAGCATTGTCTGCTTCTAAGGGTGAAGTGAGAGTGACCAGCCCAAGGTCACTAAGCTGGCTTTGAGGCTAAAGTGGGACTAATGGTTTCCTAATGTCCAGCCTTGTGCCTTAATGACTACTCCCAACTTCTCTCCACAAAACATTTGCCCAGAATAAAAATATTATAGGGTTTAACCAAATATGGCAATTTGTAGAACGTAAATGGCATTTATGTGAAAGGATATATTGAATGTATTTCTATTCTTTTTCTTAACCTATAAGAAGCTTAACCTATAGGTTATATTCCTAACAAAGATAATTTGGTTAAAGCACTTAATTGACCTTGGCTGATCTTAAAAATCTAGGTTAGTTTGAACCTGGTTAGGACTTGGAAGATGACCTCTGGGCCAGTTTATAATTAACAACAAAGTCTTCTATGGATGGGAGTTGATCAAAGGTTTGTGGAACCTGGAACCTGCTTGTTTGTCCAACAGTCATTGATAAATGTTGCAAAATATGTCAGTCTTTGAAGTGTAGGTTGTTTTTTAATAGCCCTTTTCACCAAACTCAAAAGACATCCCAAGGTTTTGGGCTGGCATATCATATTAATTAGTGAGACCACAAAAATGATTAGAGGGTTAGAACAGAGGTGGGTTGCCAATTTTTCTACTACCGGTTTGGGCGTCCTCCAGTGAGTGCACGTGCGATGCTTCTGAGCATGCACAGAAGCATCCAGGCAAGTGGGTGGAGCCTCACGCCACCACTACTACCGGTTTGCCATATCATATTAATTAGTGAGACCACAAAAATGATTAGAGGGTTAGAACAGAGGTGGGTTGCCAATTTTTCTACTACCGGTTTGGGCGTCCTCCAGTGAGTGCACGTGCGATGCTTCTGAGCATGCACAGAAGCATCCAGGCAAGTGGGTGGAGCCTCACGCCACCACTACTACCGGTTTGCCCAATCCAGGCCAAACTGGGAGCAACCCACCTCTGGCTTAGAAGAGGCTGTCACCAAAAAGTGGGGGTGAATCGATTCTCCAAAGTACCTGAAGCAAGACAAGGAGTAACAGATGGAAATTTACCAAAAAGAGATCTAATCTAGAACTAAGAAGAAATTTCTTGATAGTGAGAACAATTAATCAGTGGAATGGGTTGCTTTCAGAAGTTGTAAATGCACCAACATTGGAAATTATAAAGAAAAGATTGGGCAACCATTTATCTGGAATGATATGGGGGTTTCCTGCTCAAGCAAGGGGTTGGATTGGAAGACCTCCAAGATCCCTTCCAACTCTGTTATTCTGTTAGACAGTAAAGAACATACTTTATGAGCCATACCTAAGTTGAGCAATGCAATCATCCAGACTTCTGGTGATTTTCATCAGCCATCCCTGATGATGACGTTTTAAGAGAGCAGCTTCGTCAACCTGAGAGATTGCATTATAGGAGAAAAAAATCAGGCACAACTAATCTTTCTGTATATTATATGCATTGTGAGTAGCAAGTAAAAATTAAAGTTAATCACCATTACAGTATGACAAGTTTAGTTTTGAACAAGCTGTTCGTGGTCTGAGAAACACAAATTATGAGTGAAGGTTCCTGTTAGAACTGATTTAGAAGAAAGATTCTTTCCCAATCAATAGTGAAAAATTACACAAGTAAATTGAAAGCTTGTCTTGTTGTATTTAATAGCTCTAAACTTGTAACCCTGAAGCTTGATCTACATGAAACCATTTCACCTCCTTGGGGATTCTTGAATGAGGCAAGATATGACCTATTTGTCAACCTCTTTGCAGCAAAAATTAGGCTCTGCCCAACAACATTTGCATCTTCTCACTAGCAAATTCCCTCCTTTCTCTGATTTAAATAGACAGAAGAATTTTCTCACGAAACAAGATTGGAATGGCAGGACTGTATGCAGCTTGTATAAGACCATGGGGGAATTAAATTCATGAAATATAACATTCTATAGATAAACATCTGGAAGAAGACTATGCTAAACTTTGTGGACTTAATATGCAGCATGTAGAGTTTCTAAATCTGGGCTTCCAACTTTTGGAGAACTACGAAGATATGGAAAATTCTCTTTGTTGTTATCTAGTGGGTGTCTGGAGATTTGCAACCCAGATATGTTTGCCCTGCAATAGATGGCCATACAATCAGTCTCTTTAAGCCTATTGAAATCACTGCAGATAATCTTATCTGTGTATATCAGCTGGAAGAAAATTGAGAAATAAATTAGAGAAACATAAAGGTTTGGGTTTTGCCTATAATCATTCATTTTACTTACCCATTCTCACAGCTGTGGATATGCAGTAACAGG